TCCTCTGAAGGTGGAAGCTGCTCAATAGAACCCATCCATGCTTATCTTTCTCAGAAGTAATTTAATTTGGTACTCCATAAAAAATGCTGTATCATTTAGATTGTTTCAGGATGTTAATTAAACTGTTGGATTTGGGAGTTCAGAAGTCTAATATTTCAATGATCATTTGTAAAAGGTACTAGCAAATTTTTATAAAAAATATAGTGGCAAATAAGGTATTTAAACCAAATTTACCTCTAGGAAACTAAATCGTAGATACATTTTGAATCTAAGAACGCCACTAGCATAGGATAAAATGATGTTTCTCTGATATTCCGTATTTCTTAAAGTTAATTTAAATTAACAAAAAGATTACAAAACATTTCTATCTAAACCAGTCAACCTCCTGCCCCGCTTTCTCTGCAATTCAAACCCATAAATACAACTGTCTACTAAATATTTCGCACACGACGTCGCAAAGTCACGTCAACTCGGCCTTTCTAAAACAACATCATCTATAAAGAAGTCAACAAAAACTACGAGTCGGAGTCGACTCAACGGCAACTGTTCGGCATAATACTGCTTCCTATCGAAAATAAAAGAAACCATTCAACTGTGTACACGTGGAAAATGTTCAGCGGGAGAGGCCACAGGAAAGCAAATCCCAGACTCCTATCTCTGGAGTCCGCGGACCGAACCAGGCGGGGAGCGGGCCCGCGTGGAAGTGGCCTGCGAGCTAGTTCGCCGCCTGGCTCCGCGGCGTGCAGTGCAGCCGGGGCCCCGACCCTAGAGCGCAGCGCCGCGAGGGGAGGCGCCTGGGAACGCCTCTGGCTGGCTGGCTGGCTGGCTGGCTGTGCGCGGGAGATCGCGGAGATTGGGCCTGAGTCAGGGCCGGATCGGATTTCTCCCTGACAAGGAGAGAGCTGGCGAGATTGCGAGATTCCTAACACAGGCGAGGTCCGAAGCAGCCGGGCAGCGGGCGGGCGACCACGCCGGGGACTCGGCGCGCCCCCCACACGCGCCCTGGCCCCGCGGAGCGGACACCGCGGGCGGCCGGCGGCGTGGCCCGCGCCCGGGCTGATAACGAGTAATCGGAGCTCCGGCACGCGCCGGCAGGCCACCTCCAAGCGGCCGCGAGCCTGACCGCCGGCGTGGGACCCACGACAGAGGCCATGCGGGTCCTCTGCCCAGGCGGCCGGGCCCCTTCCATTCCCGACAGTGCCTCCCGACCCTTCTCTTCCCTCCGCGGGAAATCCGCATGTCCACGGGCGGCTGCTCCCACCTCAGCCCAAGAGCGAGGCGGCGCCCGGTGCCTACCTGGTCATCCTCAAAAATGATTTTGGCTGGGATTTCCTTGCGGATGATTTTCCCGAAGATTGTGTCGCCACCAGGCCGAGCGGCCTGAGCCTTGGCGATCTCATCTGCCATCTCAGTCTCCCTCCTGCACCGCGACTCCAGGAGAAGCTTCAGACAAGGAAGGAGTGGGTGTACTCGGAGGGAGGCGGGAGCGCGCGGTCAAGCCTGCGCGGCGATCGCTGCTCGCGCGCCCTAGCTGGTCGTGCGCCTGCGCACTGGAAACCTGAGCGGCCGCTACTGCTGGCGCGCGGGAGCCCCCGGGGAACTGCTTGGACAGACCGGGTTTGAAAGAGGTTCTCGCTCCCAGGGTCCAAGAGCCTCAGAGACCTTTTTCCATTCTTTAATTTCTTTCTTATCTCCCTTCTTTCTTTCTTCATTTCTACCTTCCCTCCCTCGTTTCTTCATTTCTCACCCTTCTTTCCTCCCTCCGTCCTTCCCTCTCTTTTTTTTTTAAGTCTCATGCTGTGTATAACACCCCGGGGAGTGGAGTTACCGGTATTAGCCATTTTTCACGTACCTTATGGACGCTTGTAGGAAAAGCTGAATACTGTATTGAAAAGATTTAATAATCGAAGTGTGCTTGGCCACGTTTGTTGGCTGAGACACCATACCACTTCTCTGGGACTAGGGGCGCAATAAAATCGTCTGTGTTTTGATTTTTGCAGCAGTGTTTCACTTCTCGGCTACAGAAGGTCTTGGCTCCAGCAATAAACCCCTTCTTGGGTCACTTTTTTTTCTCTCTAGCAGTGGTTGTCAACCCTGACTACATGTTAAAATCATCTAGGAAGCTTTAAAAAATCCCTGCGACCCTGGCCGCAAGCCAGATCAATTAAATCGGAATCTCTGGTTGTGGGACCTAGACATTGGTAGTTTGTACACCTCCCCCAAATGATTCCAATCCAAGTTTGAAAACAACTGTTCTCGAAAGACTTATTCCCAGCAGCAATCAAAAGAATGTAATATGCCCCACCTTAAAAAAACAAAACTTTCCTTAATCACACACCCTCCTCCATATCTCTGCTCCTATTTTAAAGAGTTTATATTGTGTCGCCTTTCTCATCTCTTTCAAACCCATTTCCTTCTTGTCAAGGTCACTATGGTCCTGCACTTACAAAATCCTATGGGCAACTCCAGTTCTGATTATACAGTACCTTTCTGCATTGTTTGGCACTGTTGACCATCCCCTCCTTTAGGCAATGGTCTTCACTCTCTTGGTTTTCCTCTCACCTCTACTTACCTTCTCTACCTCAATACCCTAATCCAAGCCACTATCTCTTGCCTAGAGTACTTCAATAGCCTCCTAGGTGGCCTCTCCACTTCCACTATAGTCAAATTGCCATGTAGCACCCAAAATGATCTTCATAAAATATAAATCATGATGTCATTCTCCTGCTGGCAATACTTTACTTCTAAGACTTTCCATCACATTCAGAATAAAATCCAAAATCCTTATAGGATCCTATGTGATCAGGCTCATGGCTACTCTTTTACCTCATTTCCTTCCATTTCCACCGTATTGACTGGCTTCACTCATACTGGGTGTGGTAGACAGAATAATGGCCCCCTAAAGATGTCCATGTCCAAATCCCTGAAACCTATAAATATGTTACTTTACATGACAAAAGGGACTTGAGATGGGGAGGTTATCCTAGATTATCCAGGTGGGCCCAATGTAATCATAAGGAGAGAGGGAAGTGAAGCAGGAGACAGTCAGAGATTTGAAGATCCTACCTTGCTGGCTTTGAAGATGGAAGGGGCCATGAGCCAAGGAATGCAGACAGCATTCTGGAGGTCAGAAGTTCGAAATGGACTTTTTGAACTAAAATCAAGGTGTCAGCTGGGCTGTATTCCTTCTAAAGGCTCTAGTGGAGAATCCATTCCTTTGCCTTTTCCAGCTTCAAGAGGCCACCTGCCTTCCTTGGTTTCCTCCATCTTCAAAGTCAGCAACATAGCATCTTCAAACTTCTTGATTCTGCTTCCTTCTTCCACTTACAAGGATCCTTATGATTACATTGGGCCCACCTGGATAAGTCACACTGCTCTTCCCATCTCAAGATCCTTAATTTAATCAAATCTGCAATGTCTCCTTTGCCATATAAGGTAACATATTCAGAGACTTTGGGGATTAGGACATGGACTTCTTTAGGAGATCATTATTCTGCCTACCATAAAGCTCCATGAACTTACATAATGAATATGTTGGAATTTTCTGTTCAGTTCTGGGTCCCACACTTTGACCTGCAGACAAACCAGGACATGTTCTCAGAAGAATAATCAGGATGGTAAAGAGCCAACTCATTTGTGGAACAGCTGAAGGAACCATTTATTTATCTAAGAGAACAGAAGCCTCAGCACTTGGCACAATAGGAACTATATTTTCCAAAAATTGGCAGATGAGGGATTTTGGTTAAGTGAACACAGGATCCTAGTGTAACAGAAATGATCACAATGAATTACCAATTTTCAAGAAATTGGGTTATCGTCCTAAACAGGAAATGAAAATAAGCATCTTTTAATCATTTGTTAGCATTCAGAAGGGACTACAATGCAGTGTCACAAGATAGAATTTATTGTTTCCTGGAAAAAAGACAATACCATTAAGGTTGGTTTCACTGCTTGAATATGTTAAAAGGTTTTCTGCAAATCGAATGCATCTTACTAAAAATACAAAGTCAGCTATTATCTTGCTGGGTCATGATGACTTGCCAATATTCTGTAAGATGGGCCTTGGAGATACATCAGCCCAAACTTTTCATTCTCAATAAAGAGTAAATTTTATCTAAAAGGTAATCGGGAAGGCTGTGGGGGTAGGGAAAGCAACCAACAATTATGCAATGGGGAAAAGTCTGAGAATTTTCTTGACGCTTGCAAGGGCAGAAGTTAAAACGCTTTTAAATAAATGCTTTATGATTGTTTATGATTAAACATGATATCACCATTATCCATTTCTGACCTCTTCATTGACCAGCAAAACCAAGGAGCAGAACAAGTAGAGGAGACAGGATGTTTAGACTAGGCTTTGGGGTCAGGCATAGAAGATTGGTATACCAGACCCGCATTTACTAGCCGTGTGATCTCGGGCAAATCACTTACCCTCACCTTCTGAGCAGATTAAAAGAGAGAATGTACAAATGGCGCTTTTACGAGTCAGCGTTTCAATGTTTGCTGTAGTTAGGACTTGAATCTCTTTTATGCACGTTTCCAAGGAGACAGTCACAACTGGGAAATGTAAAAATAAGGGCTCTTTAATAAACGACCCAAACCCCAAACAAGAGGTAATGACAGATAAGTGCCGAATGAATCCGTTACAACCAATCTCCGAGGGTGCCTCGCAGAGACCGGAAGTGATTCTGCCCCTCACTAACATGGCATCGAGGTGATTTCCGTTCTCCTCTCTCTAGTACGTAATTGGACTAGGCAGTTTCTCGCGATTTTACCAGTTGCCACCCGCTTAGCAAACACCTCTCCCGTCCCTCCAAGGGAGGCGGGGCTACGAAGAAGATGCTGCGTGATGATTGGTTGCGGCGCGTTAGGAGCGTGGCTTCGGGGAGTTGGAGAGTTCTTGCTCGGCAGTGATTGGTTGCCGAGAGGCGGGGCGACTCGACAGCTTGCGAGGCGGCGATAACAGAGAGGAGAACCATGAGTCAGGCGGCCAAGGTGACAGGTCTCGGGTAGGGGGTGGGTGCGATGCCGACCGGGAGGGTACGTTCGAGACCTTGCGAAGGTTGTCTGGGGTCTCTGAGCTGAAGTGCCGGCCCCTCCACGGAGGATATGGGCCCCTGAGGAGCCTGGCAACTAACCCCGAGGGGCGGTCGAGGATTTGTGCAGGTGCGGAGAAGGGCAGGAAACACCAGTGTGGTTCCTATTTCTTGGTGCTACCGGGGTACGGAGTGTTTATTCGTCATGCAAGCCCGCCACTTAAGTTCTGCTTCTCTTTGGTCTCCAGACCGAGTATTTCTCTGAGGGACCCATTTCACATCCCTGGGAAGTGTACGGGATGCCAAAGGCAATCTTGAGCTACAACCATCCAATGAGGTGATAACCAGAAGGTGCACAGAAGTCTAGGAACCAAGGAAACCACGTCCCAGCAAATTCACTTGCCAAAAGTAGCACTTTTCGAGACAGTGGAGACTGGCGAGACCTGAATGCTATCGGTGAGGTTGGGAAGTGCTGGCCCTGTCCCCGTTCTAGCCCTGAGGACCTGGGCTTAAGATTCTTGTTTCTCGTCAAGCTGATGCACATTTCTGCCCGGTGCGCAGTTCTCGTGGGGCCAGCCATCCCTAACCTAAATGCCATCAACATGGCCGGTTGGGACCTGTACTTGTCATTTGCTGAAACAAGCATGGTCGGCTGCAGTACGGTGAGGAAAAGGGATGCCTATGGTTGGCAATAATAGGGAGCCACCAAGCGGTGCGTCATGTACTATTGAAATTGGTGTTCTCTGCACCAATAGAAACAGAATTGAAAAGGATTATTCACTCAAAAATTTATTGAGCATCCATAATAGCTATTTTTAGCCTATACTATCTAGGCATAACAGATAGAACAATAAACAGACCGTTTTTTTGCCTTCTATAAAGACGTGTAGCAAGGAGGGAGATTTTAAACAATTATTAAAATTATAATAAATGTTTTGAAATGAAAATACAGTGTATTTATAAGTATGTAAGTGGAATTTAACCTATTTGGAATGATACAAAAAAAGCTCTTCTCAAGTATAAGTTACATTGAGACCTGAAGTTTGATTAGAAATTAGAAGAGAGACAAAAGAGTATTCCAGAAAGAGGAACATTCCTTGAAGTGGAAAGTTGCTTGGAAAACTTGGATACATGAAAATAAATAGCATTCTTTTTAAAAACACTTCTCGTGAGGCCTACCATCTACAGGGAGTACCTGGGTGGTGCAAATGGTTAACACACTCGGCTGCTCACCAGTAGGTTGGAGGTTTGAGTCCACCCAGAGGGTACACTGAAAGAAAGGCCTGGCAACCTACTTCCAAAAAATAGCCATTGAAAACCCTGTGGAGCACAGCTCTACTCTGACACCCACAGGGTCACCATGAGTCAGAATCAACTCTATGGCAGCTAGTTATCATCTATACACGGTACCAATGCTAAGTGCAGAGGATACATAGGTGACCATAAAGCCTTTGAGAAAGTATGGGACAGCAGCAAGTGTTATGGCAGGATCAGTGCCCAGTGATATGGGTGTACTTGGGGGTGGGGGGATAGGGGGCTTGTAACAGATTTAGAAGGGCTGAGGAAGTGATAACTAAAGTGAAATCTAGTACAGAAATTATATTATACACCCTTAAGATTAGCTAGCCTATTTAGTCAACAAAATTGAGGCAAAAGGCTTAATAATTTTTCCGAGCTTATAATAAGTAGCAATGTCAGATTCAAACTGATCTGACTGTAAAAAGTATGTTGTTGTTAGGTTCCATAGAGTCAACCCTATGTACAGCAGAATGAAATACTGCCCGGTCCTGCACCATCCTCAAAATCTTTATCCTTGAGCCCATTGTTGCAGCCACTGTGTCAGTCAATCTTGTTGAGGGTCTTCCTCTTTTTCACTGACCCTCTACCAAACGTGATGTCCTTCTTCAGGGACTGGTCCCTCCTGATAACTCGTCCAAGTATGTGCGATGAAGACTCGCCATCCTTGCTTCTAGGGAGCATTCTGGCTGTACTTCTCCCAGGACAGATTTGTTCATTCTTCTAGCATTCCATGGTATATTCAATATTCTTCACCAACACCATAATTCAGAGTCATCAGTTCTTCGTTTTTCCTTATTCATTGTCCAGCTTTCACATGCATATGAGGCAATTGAAAACACCATGGCTTGGGTCAGGCCCACCTTAGTCCCCAAAGTGATGTCTTTTCTTTTTAACACTTTAAAGGGGTCTTTTGCAGCAGATTTGCCCAGTTCAATACTTCATTTCATATCTTGACTACTGCTTCCACAGGCATTGATTGTGGGTCCAAGAAAAATGAAATCCTTCACAACTTCAATCTTTTCTCCGTTTATCATGATGTTGCTTATTGGTCTAGTTGGGATGATTTTTGTTTTATGTTTATGTGTAATCCATACTGAAGGCTGTGGTCGTTCATCAGTAAGTGCTTCAAGTCCTGTTTACTTTCAGCAAGCAAGGTTGTGTCATGTGAATAACGAAAGTTGTTAGTGAGTCTTCCTCCAATCCTGATGGCCCATTCTTCATATAGTCCAGCTTCTCAGATTAGTTGCTCAGCATACAGATTGAATAAGTATGGTGAAAAGATAGAACCCTGACACACACCCTTCCTGACTTTAAACCACATGGTATCCCCTTGTTCTATTTGAACAACTACCTCTTAATCTGTGTACAGGTTCCTCCTGAGCACAATTAAGTGTTCTGGAATTCCCACTCTTTGCAGTGTTATCCATAATTTGTTATGATCCACACAGTCGAATGCCTTTACATAGTCAATAAAACACAGGTAAACATCTTTCTGCTATTCTCTGCTTTTAGCCATGATCTGTCTGACATCAGCAATGATATCCCTTGTTCCATATCCTCTTCTAAATCCAGCTTGAATTTCTGGCAGTTCCCTGTTGATGTACTGCTGCAGCTGCTCTTGAATGATCTTCAGCAAAATGTTACTTGTGTGCGATATTAATGATATTGTTCAATAATTTCTTCACTCTGTTGGGTCACCTTTCTTTGAAATGAGTACAAATATGGATCTCTTCCAGTTGATTGGCCAGGTAGCTGTCTTCCAAATTTCTTGGCAAAGATGAGTGAGCACCTCCAGTGCTGCATCTTTGTTGAAACATCTCAACTGGTAGTCCGTCAATTCCTGGAGCCTTGTTTTTCACCAGTGCCTTCAGTGCAACTTGGACCTCGTCCTTCAGTACCATCAGTTCTTGATCATATGCTACCTCCTGAAATGGTTGAACATCGACCAGTTCTTTTTGGTACAATGACTCTGTGTATTCCTTCCATCTTCTTGTGATGCTTTCTTTGTTATTTAATATTTTGCCCATAGAATCCTTCAATACTGCAACTCGAAGCTTGAGTTTTTTGTTCAGTTCTTTGAGCTTGAGAAATGCTGAGCATATGCTTCCCTTTTGGTTTTCTATCTCCAAGTCTTTGCACTTGTCATTATAATACTTTACTTTGTCTTCTTGAGCCACCCTTTGAAATCTTCTGTTAAGTTCTTTTGCTTCATCATTTCTTCCTTTTGCTTTAGCTGCTCTATGTTCAAGAGCAAGTTTCAGAGTCTTTTCTGACATCCATTTTGGTCTTTTCTTTCCTGTCTTTTTAATGACCTCTTGCTTTCTTCATGTACGACGTCCTTTATGTCATTCCACAGCTTGTCTGGTCATCAGTCAGTAGTGTTCAATGCATCATATCTGTTCTTGAGATGGTCACTTAATTCAGGTGGGATGTACTCAAGATCGTACTTTGGCTCTCATGGATTTGTTCTAATTTTCTTCAGCTTCAACTTGAACTTTCATATGAGCAATTGATGGTCTGTTCCGTAGTCGGCCCCTGGCCTTGTTCTTTTTTTTTTTTTTCTTTTTTATTGTACTTCAGGTGAAGGTTTACAAAACAAATAGTTTCTCAATAAACAGTACCCTGGCCTTGTTCTGACTGATGGTATTGAGCTTTTCCATCGTCTGTCTCCACAGATGTAGTCGATTTGATTCCTGTGTATTCCATCTAGCGAGGTCCATGTGTATAGTTACCGTTTATGTTGTTGAAAAAAGGTATTTGCAGTGAATAAGTAGTTGGTCTCAAAATTCTATCATGTGATATCTGGTGCCATTTCTATCACCAAGACCATATTTTCCAACTTCAGATCCTTCTTCTTTGTTTCCAACTTTTGCATTCAAATCACCAGTAATTATCAATGCATCTTGATCGCTTGTTTGATCAATTTCAGACTGCAGAAATTGGTAAAAGTCTTCAATTTCTTCATCTTTGGCCTTAATGGTTGGTGCATAACTTTGAATAATGGTTGTATTAATTGGTCTTCCTTGTAGGTCTATGGCTATTTTCCTATCACTGACAGCGTTGTACTAAGGGATAGATCTTGAAATGTTCTTTTTGATGATAAATGCAATGCCATTCCTCTTCAAGTTGTCATTCCCGGCATAGTAGACCATATGATTGTCTGATTCAGAATGGCCAATACCAGTCCATTTCAGCTCCGTAATACCTCAGATATCAATCTTTATGCATTCCATTCCATTTTTGATGACTTCCAATTTTCCTAGATTCATACTTCGTACATTCCACGTTCCAGTTATTAATCGATGTTTGCAGCTGTTTCTTCTCATTTTAAGTTGTGCCACATCAACAAATGAAGGTCCCAAAACCTTGACTCTGTCCACATCATTAAGATCAACTCTACTTTGAGAAAGCAGCTCTTCCCCAGTCATCGTTTGAGTGCCTTCCAACCTCAGGGGCTCATCTTCCGGCACTATATCAGACAAGTTTCCGCTGCTATTCATAAGGTTTTCACTGGCCAATTTTTTTCAGAAGTATACTATCAAGTCCTTCTTCCTAGTCTGTCTTAGTCTGGAAGCTCTGCTGAAACCTGTCCACCATGGGTGACCCTTCTGGTATTTGAAATACCAGTGGCAAAGCTTCCAGTATTACAGCAACATGCAAGCTACCACGATATGACAAACTGCTACCTAAATCTCTAATCAGTGTAAGTTAATGAGGAGGACAAGATGGTCTGTGACCTAGCTTTCTTCATTTTAATAAAAGTTTGTTAGCTCCAAGGCTATAGTGATGACTTTTTTTTTTTTAATTAGTCCTTCTTAAACTAGTGGTGCTGGTTGTTGTACTAATGGAGACATCTTTCTTTCTCCTTTTTTCTAGGTACTGTGTATAAACCATTAGGTTTACTTCTCACTTTCTTCTTAATCCATGCAACCTGTCATCCACCACTTTTGCAATATTAAACTCCCTAGGTTTCTGCAGTGTTCTGTGCTCTTCTAGCTTCTATCCCTAATCACTCCTTTTTCTTTTTTTAAATAATTCAAGACTTATAAAAAAGTTGCAAAAATAGTACATAGTATCCCCAGCTTCCCTATTAACATTTACCACACTTGCTCTGTAATTCTCTTTCAATTTCTCATTTTTTAAATATCTTTTCTCTC